GTTTTCCATTTTTAATATCCATTGAGAAAGATTCTTGTAAGTAACTATTTTTTGATGTATGGTAAAATATCAACGAGAAATGTTGCCGTAGCTGTATGGCAAAGTTGTACCATAGCCTATGGAAAAATATTTCGTCATAAGCTGTAGCACATCTTAGTTTTATGGCAAAAATTTGCCATATAAAAAAATGCCATAGGATATTCCTATGGGGCTTTGCCTATGGTAAAATTTTGCCATACACTTTTGCCATATACGTATGGCAAAATTTTGCCATACATGTGTTTCAGACGCAAGTGCGTGAACGCAGATGCAGTGATTATTTCTCATATTATTTCTTACATTATTCTTTTGTTGGCAACATATTTTATATATATTTTTTGTGCACACTTGTGATAGTAAAAGAGTTTTGTTCTATGAGATACTTGTTTTAGTGTTGATTATAATTAGAGAACATTTACGTTTATAACCAACACAACATGTATGGCAGAAATTTGCAATATAAAAAAATGCCATAGGATATTCCTATGGGGTTTTGCCTATGGCAAAATTTTGCCATACACTTTTGCCATACATGTATGGCAAAATTTTGTCATACGTATATGGCAAAAGTGTATGGCAAAATTTTACCACAGGCAAAACCCCATAGGAATATCCTATGGCATTTTTTTATGGCAAACCTATGGCAAATTTTCCTTAAAAATTTAAACAAAGAATCAAAACTGGGCAGTAAGTATAGCAGGTACTATAGATATTAATAGAAATATATATTTTTGATAACTGTAATGCAACTTCTGATAGAAATGAAGGTGACATTTCAAAAAATTTGGAACAATCATTGTAGAACTTGGCATCTAACTACAGTACCATCTTTATATAGATAAAGATAATACTTGCAAAAGCCCATAGTAAAGCTATGGTGGCTCAGATGATAGAGTGCTCACTTCCCATTGAGCTCGATACGAATTTCGCTCCTGACTCGCACGGACCACAGTGGTGATGTAAAATATACTCGGTGGTAGAGGATTCATGGGATAGAGTTCCTTTCTCATGAGGCTAACCGTGGAGGTTTTCGTGATTTTCCTTTCCATGTAACGCAAATACGGGTTAGTTCTATGAGAAAGTCCTCCACGAAGGCAAATTTCTCTGAATACTTGATCCAGGAGCTCCCTTGTCTTCTGGATCGGGTTAAAATTTATAAGGCTGAGGAGTTGAACATGGCCACTTGTAAACTCTAAATTGAGTTGGTTGTTCGACAACGGTTATAAAAAAAGCCTCCGAGCTGTAAACTTGAAAATTAACGCAGTCAATTTATTTTTCTTCCTTTATTTTGAAACAATGATATTTTCATTGTGGCTTAAAATTTTAATGTCTGATTTCCATGAGCTTTATTTAAATATGCCTCTTTAAATAATATATTTTACAGCTGATGTAAGGTTTAAAACTAAATTTATTTATGCTCATTTGTCATACATTTACAGAAGAGTGACATTTCATGAAACGTCACTGGTCTGTAAATGCAAACAACGTCATCATTATTGGAGGCCCTTCCTCACCCTACCGTACTCAACTGTTGAAAGGGTGGAGACGGGGAGTGAAAATTCTAAATATGCTTTTACTCGTCTTTATTTAATTTTCTCAATTAAACTGATGATTGATATGTAATCTATTAGGCAGTTTCCTTCGATATATGTAAAATACAAAACCGCCACCCAATCACAATTTGAGATATAAGGCATGTGATATTTTAGATTCTCGTTCAATTTTTTTTCCGATAAAATTATTCCAGTACAATTATGTAATGAGCAGTTTTTGACCGGTAGTTGAATAATAAACAGTTGCCTGCTTTTATTGTTTTTAGATTTTTGACAAGTATCTTTGTTTTTATGCTATTAACGTTAAAGAAATTTTTTAGCTTCATCCTAATCGGTTTTAATCAATTTAAGTTGTAATAAAATTAGATTTCAAAAAATTACCAACTCAACTCACGAAACGCATTTTATTTCTTTAAAGTTTTGAAGAAAATTTTCTAAACGTTCTAATAATAATCAATTGCTATTTCTCCTAACCTAATAAGGCGAATAGTAAAGTGTAATTTTCAACATTTTTTTAAAATGTTTTGTACTGCTTAATAAAACTATATCATCAAAAGTTTGTTAAGTTCAAAAAATATCGAGAAAACATTAATGCAAGTCTAAGAAGGTTAGGGTAGAGGCCTTTTCTAGAGAAGATTATTCTCAGCTTAGCAACTAAACTGTATCTATGGAATATATTCAAATGCATAGTTTGTCTAAAGAAAGAACTCCCCTAGTCACTCGTCTGGATCTGCGGCGGTGACTATGGTAACGAGGTATTACTATTTCAAGTAGTTGTGTGGGGTCATTGTTTAGGACACTGTTTGGCGCGGGTCGGCGAGAGAATCTTTTTCTTCCGTCTATTTTGTTAGCCCTAGAGTGAAGAGAGGCCACCCTCCCTGAAATGCACTATTCTTTTTTCCTTAGCAGCAGGCAGCCCCAGACTATGCGACGGGGGCAGTTCTTACCGTAGACAAATTGTAACTGCCTCTTTCATACCAAAAGTAAATCAAAGTCGTTGAATACCAACTACAGAAAGAGTCGTACATTCCTACAGAAAACAGACTATATTCAAATTTTGAGTTACAATGGAAGAATCGCCTTTTTTTACGGAATGCAAGGAAATGCGATGAGATTGTATTCCTTGATGATGGATGGTGAATACTATATTCAAGATTTATGATGCAATAAACCATAGATTACATTCATTGTGAATAGTTGTTAGTTAAATTTTAACTGTTCATTATTCTAATAAAATTGCATATTACACAGCAACATCAGCAAATTAAAGCTTTGAGACACCAACTTCAAAAAGAGATAGACCACCAAGAATCAGAAATAAAGAGAAGAGAAGGAGATATCCGACATTATAAGGAGCAAATCGAGGACTTGGATCGAACCCAACACGAGCTAGATAACGGAAAGAGTAACTAAAATAACTCAAGGTTTATTCAAATTCATTTCATTGACTCTGGATAAAACTTATAAAATTCTTTTTTTTTTTTTTTTGGTTGAAGTGCAGTTATTCAAATTCATTTCAATGACTCTGGATAAAATTTATAAAATCGTTTTTTTTTGTGGTTGAAGTGCAGCCTCTTTTCCTTTTTCACATCATACTAAATTATATGAAATCAAAAGAAAGCAATCTGTATCACAGAAGGAAAATATAATTTAATTATAAAAATTTTAGGCTGCAGTTTCGTGTCTTAAATGGTGCATTTAATGTGATTTTTAATGTGCTTTTAACTTATGTTTCTAGCCAAATCTGAGCCTGATTGTAACCGCGAGTGTTATTACCTAAATTTTATCAGATAGATAATCCTATAGTAAAAACTCCTAAATTGTGAAACATTATTAGTAAATAACTTTTCGTGCTTTCATTGACCAATATCTTTGGTGAAAAACATTTAACGAATTTTTATGGCTTTCAAAAATTAAATAGATGCTTAAAAAGTAAAATTGGGAATTAAGTTTCACTGGTAACTAAGTAAAATATTGGGTTTAAATTTTACCCCAATAGAATCGGTAACTTAATCATTGAAACTAAATTTATATTATGTAAATTGAAACCAAATTATACAACAAAACATGTTAAGATAGTTCAATCGAGTAATTTTTATTAACTTTGATGACAGAATCCATGAATTCGTTTATCTTTATGGAAACGAAAAATGATTGGCCTGCAAGCGTAGAGTTGGTGTGCAAAGGGAGCAATGGTGCAGATCCATAGATTTTTTTTCAAATAAAACATCTAATATTAATTAGATATTAAGTTCCCCTACTATAAATTTGAAACAAGTAAAATTAAAGTTATTTGAAACGAAAAAAGATAATTTAAACAGAAATCAAGTACGATTTAGCTTCTTATTTTAGTTGCAAATATATATCAACGTAATCTCGAAATATTTATATTTTGCCAACCAAAACAATTTTGTCAACAATTTTATAATTATTAAACTATGCATTAAACTTGAAGTTTAATCAGCGCTAGCAACCAAATTTGTAATTTATCTTCTGTTTCGGTGGCATCCTATCTCAATCTTTTTTTCTCGTTGCGTCAAGTAGTGTGCATATTCCGAGTAAGAAGCAGCTAATTTTATGTGAAAGTCTTTGAACAAAACTATGTTATGCCAATTTCTTTTCACAAATGGCATTTTTATATCTATTTTTTGCATTATTTTCAGATAAATAATTTAAAAGTTTTTGTAATTCCAATAGATGGCAGCACATGCCACAGCAACATCTCATTGCCTAATGACAGCCCTTAAACCACACAAATCAGTATATGAGTTTGGGGCATTTCAGCATAGTAGGCAATCGAATGGCCAAGTCCTGGGCTATATGGTTAAGGGTTTTTCATAACCTAGGCACATGCTCAGGGCTTGGAGGAAAGAAAAAAAAGTAGGCAATCGAAGATTTTAACTTATTTTCATCTCTGTCATCGTGAATAAGAAAGAAAATTCATCCCAATGCTTCATTACGTGTTGTATTACTTCCTTAAGCACCCCTCGAGAAATAACTTAGGTACAATATACATATGCTTTTGTTCGAAAAAAGGCAAGCTCCGTCACCAATAATTAGTATGATAATATGCGGCGCTACAGCACTGTTTATTTTTAAAATTTCTATAGCCATTTTAAAAAATAGATCTACGTAATTACTTCGTAGCTAAGTTTTTTTTTATAAAAATACAAAATTATTCTAAATGAATAATGAATATTTAACTATTCGATACTACTTAAATTATTGTTTTGGAAAGCCTAATAAAAGGATCCTAAATCAATATTTAACGAATAACTAATTATTTAAAACTTCTTAAATTATTATTTACGACACCATAGCAAAATGAATTATTATAGATAATGTTGCTAATTTAAATAGAGAAATACTCGTGTTTCTGGTGCCACTTTAAAGAAATAAGTATGCAGATTATGAAATAAAACAAATGTTTATTCTTGTGTTGTATTACATATTTTTTTTTTAACGTAACTAAATTCTGAGCTTAACTGTCTTGAAAATAAGTATAAATGAATCACATTCAGTCGATGAAAATTTTCAAGGCATTTAATCACAGTTTATCAAACTTTATGCCCAAACAAAACTTAAACGAGGGGATAGCTAGCTTTTGTAGCAATACCACATTGGTTGTTGTTATTTCTTGACATTTTAATATATCCTTGAATTCCCCATGTTGTGCCCCAACTGAAATTGAAAGAAAAAGAATCACATTTGAGTAAATATAAATAATAAACACACAATTTATTTTATTTTAAAATCCAATTCGATTCATTTAAGAAATGTCATAAAGTAGATTTTTAAAAAATATTCGCTTGTCATTTGCAAAATTCATCGTTATGTTACGAGTATGCATTAATATCCATAATAATTTTGAGACTATTCAATATCCTTCATTTATTATACTTTTAATATCATCAAATAGGTTCTTATGCAAACTGAAAATTATACATATCGAACTTGCTTGTAAACAATACCTGGATTTAACGAGAACCCGGTTTTAACAAGGAAATCGGAAATACTTGGAACATCGTTAAGTCTATCGGAGCAAAACTCGCTTTTTACGGAAGAAAAAAAATCCCGGTATTAGCGAGCAATATTTTTGCGATTCATAAAATTCTTACTTAATTACACCTCACCAGCTCAGCTTATTACTTCTTTGAAAAAAATACTATTTGTTGCTTTTCGTTTCGACGAATTCCATTTTGATGTCGATGATGTTTTTTGAGCCATGCGACTTATCCGAAGAACAATAATACAACAACGAGACAATAATACAGTTTAAAGCAAATTAACTATCTTCTTTTGTAAGTACAGAAAAAAATAAAATAAATGCTATATTTATATTTCAGTAAGCATGTATCATGTTATATGAGTTCTTCTCAAACTAGTTTTATGCGAGCACTTAATTGTAAAGAGCAAATGTAGCAGAAATATAAAATTTATTTTAAAAATAAAATGAAATATCAGTTATTAAGTCCTATAATTTTTATAACACTTAATGGGTGGTGGTAAATATACTTATTACAAAATAAATGGCGTCAAAATTAATTAATTTTGTCTAATAAGCTAAAGTAATTTTTTTTCATAATATCAATTTCAATTCCAAAAATATTTTAACTAACCCTTACAAGAAATAAATGGATCATTAAAAGATTAAATAAATACCTGTTCTTTACAAGCCAGTAGTCTTCGCCATCTTCACTTCCGTAACCAACTGCAAGAACTGCGTGATCTAATTGATCTGTGGAACATTGTGGCTCTGAGTATATTCCATTTCTACACAAAAAGTATTCAGTGAGTTTAATCCTTTTTTTGGAAATACTATAGAATAATTATATAAAAACTAGTATCTTACTTGTATGATTGGAAACTGTTATGAGCGGCATCAATACATACTGATACTGGCCCTACAGTGGCCACAGCGTTTTTCAAAGCATTTTCATCACCGCTAGGAATGTTAACAAATCCAGTACAAGTGGCACCAACATATGGTTTTTGGAAAAGGCACTTAGGGTCATCCTAGAGTCATTTAAATTAATTTTATATATTGTTAAAATCAAGCAAAATTTCATTAAAAAAAAGTTTAAAGATTTTGTCACGCTAAATTTTCAAGCATCGAATACTTCTCTAAGCTAGATTCGATGATCATAAAAAATTCAAAAACATTACAAAAAATTGTCTTGTTAACCTCTTGAGCTATCTTTATGACTCAAACTGCTCTTACCTTAGCTGTGTAGGGATATGAAGATTCTGTATCCACTCCTTTGTTTGCTTTGATGTATTCAAAAGCTTGAAATGGCCAACCTCCTTGACAGCCCATGTTTCCTGGAAGAAAAATGTAAAGCGCTTTTAAAACCTTAACAAGATTTTTTTTTTCCAGAAATTTAATCAACTTTTTTAAATTAATTTTAAGATTATTAATTAATTTTAATTAATTTTAAATAATTTTGATTAATTTAATTAATCTATTTATTTAATTTAATTAATTTAATTAACTTCCACGGTTTTGANGAAACCAGAATGGGAGAGATTAATTTTAAATAATTTTAAATAATTTTAATTAATTTAATTAATTTTAAATAGTTTCAAATAATTGTAATTAATTTAATTAATTTAATTAATCAATTTAATTAATTTAATTAATCAATTTAATTAATTTAATTAATTTTGAATAATTTTAATTTATTTAATTAAACAATTTTAATTTAATTAATTTAATAAAAAGTTTAATTTGTTTTATTAATTTAATTTGTTTTATTAACCGCCTCCCTGATTATCTTGACCTAACTCTGGTATGCATACATTGCGAATATTTATTATCCCGAGAATACTTTGTCAGTACGCTTTGTTTTATGAAGTTTTTACTCAGCTGGAAGAAGAAAAAAATAATATCAACAACAACAATAATAATCTGTTGTGATTGGAAGTTTGCCAAGTTTCGCTTGGGAGTTTTGCTGTTCGATTGTGGGACTGCACATGTGTTTTGTGCGATTGTATATACGATGGAGGCTGAATTTACATAGTAAAAAGAGTTAAAAAAATATGGCGTATCGCTTCACTGGCGTTTAGAAAGTTCCACTTTGTTTTATTCTTTGTTTCAAAAACTATCATGCAAAGACTAATATTTAAATTTCTCATGTGTCCGAAATAACTGTCGATGGTATACTGATGGTAAATTAAATGATTTTTACACATTAAAAAAATTAAAATTTCAATTTAAAATTTGTGTATTATATTTTGTTTTTGTTCCTCGTAGTTACTGATAAAATAAAAATTTTGTGGATCTTTCGCATTTTTTTGAAACAAAATTGCTAAGGGACGCCGTTAATATCAGATGAAAGAATTATTTGAATTGTAATTCTACTCCACTTAAAATTAAAATAAATAAATAAATGAACTAGCTAGGCTGTGGGTTGCCTGCTTCTTGATCTTGTGGTTAACTATGGCACTCGACATGATCCTGCAGATCATATAATATTCGAAAGTTAGACCTTTGGAAGAAAGTTAGACTATTTGCTTGCACGGTGTTACGTTCGATCTCCTTATAATACCCCTAAAACAAATTGAAAGATAAATTTTCCTACATTCTAGGTGGGCATATATCTGTCAACCCTTATTTCTTTGAGGGTGGGGAGGGATTTTCCGAAGTCACTTGGGGTATCATCCGGGAAAATGTCTGCTACAGCTAGCGCACAAGCCTTAATATTTCCGTTCATTCACGTAATTTTTGTCTTTATTTTAAAGCTTAATTTTGATACCAGAGTGAGGAATAAATCTGATAAAATAGGCTACTTCTGAAACGATGAGATAGGTGAAATATTGCATTCACTGGACTCAAATGAAGAAATGATGAAATCCTCAAATGAAGAAAAAAAATGGACTTCTATCAATATCAATGTGAGGATTGCATGTTTTTAAACCTAGCGATTTGAAGTATTATTTAAATATATCTTTTAAAAAAGCTTAAAATTGTACAAAATGTAGTTCGTAACAGATATGACTAAGTATTACCATATGCGGATGAACAATCAACCAGGTTTTGTTCACTCAGGGATACTAAGCTGCCAGTTTTCTTCATGTGTTGACCCTCAAGAGCACCGGTTGTGGAGAAAGCCCAGCATGATCCACATTGTTCCTAATTGTCAAGGGAGAAAGTGTGCTTTTATATGCAATGCTTTTGGCATGCTATGCAAAATTTTTACTTAAGCCTTTTAAAGAATTTTTAAAGTTTTTTGAAAAATTTCCTTTGTAGGTTGTATAAAATTTGAGGAAATGTTTCACAGGCCAAAGTAGAGGAATGGTCAATCAGAGGGCTATATTGTCTAGAATTACATTATTGCTTCATCTGAAAGCATAGTATAAATGCATTTAAACAGTCTTTTCCCTAGTAGCATATCTCTCAATAGATTAAAAAAATCTTATCCCATGTAGCGTATCTCTTAATACATTTAAAAAGTCTTATCCATTGTAGCATATCTCTCAATACATTTAAAAAGTCTTATCCATTGTAGCATACCTCTCAATACATTTAAAAAATTTTATCCATTGTAGCATACCTCTCAATACATTTAAAAAGTGTTATCCATTGTAGCATATCTCTCAATACATTTAAAAAGTGTTATTCATTGTAGCATATCTCTCAATATATTTAAAAAGTGTTATTTATTGTAGCATATCTCTCAATACATTTAAAAAGTCTTCTCATTTGAGGAATTTAAAAGTCTATCCATGTATTTAAAAAGTTTTATCTCATGTGACATTTAAAATTCCATCAATGTATTTAAAAAATATTGTACCTTGTAACATTTAAAAGTCTATTAATGCATTTAAAAAGTTTTGTACTTATCAAATTACCGAAAAATATGACTTCAACATGAATATATGAGTACATTGAAAAAAAAATAGTACAATGGAAATGCGTGATAATTATTCGTAGGAAAGATGAATAAATAAAGAAGACTAAACAAGCCTTTTTGCGTTTTTTTTTTTCTCTTTATTTTTTTTCAAGCTATACTAGTTGATGAATGTCGAGAGAAGAACAAATATTGATCTGTATAATGATCTAAGATTTTCAAACATGGCTTTTTGATTCACTGAATTAAAAGTTATCAGTGATAAATTCTTTGATTAATATTAAATTATTTGATTATGTGATTACTCTCTCTCTCTCTCTCTCTCTCTCTCTCTATGTTGCATGACAGCTCATGGAGGGCCAAAGCCTAATGTGTCCATCTAAATTTTCTTGACGTAGGCTTTAGGGTGCTGGAGCACCCTAAAGGATCGGGTGGATTTTCAGCCGCATTTGGATCCCCCATGGTTTGCCCCAAATAATGCTATAATGATTACCTATGCCTTTTTAAAACTTCTAGCGAATAATTAGAACTTAACAAAAGTGACAGTAAGCCACTAATATAGCTATTATTTCGATAAAATAATTAACGTCTGCCCTAGAAATTAACGAAAAATTTTTACTAAAAAATTAATTATACAGTTTCAACTCGAACTTTTTTATATATTCTTGTAAAATCGTGAAGTAGAACCACGTAAAGTGGTTCCACCAGGGTAGTGGTTCTATCACGTACTATTAGAAACTTTACAAATATGAAAAAAATAGCGAAATGAACTTACCTGGTTTTTGACTGGAGTGACTAAACCTTTGTCTCGCCAATCGACTTCGTCAGGGATTCTAACATTCAGAGGCTCAACCCAAGTACTTCCATTGTTGCTTCGAGCACCATCCTTTTTAAGTCCATTAAAGGTGTTTACAAAGTCTTCATGACTCTACAAATATATTAATGTTTCAGATATTTGAAATATAAATTTTGATAAATTTAGCAAAATTTTCTAAATTTACAAAGTTTGTATTTAATTTTACTCAAAAAAAAATAAAAAAAAAAACAAGAACCTATCACATATCGGTAAGCAAAAGGTGGAGTAACCGAAGGTGACGTCATTGAAAATGAAGACAGCAAGGAATATCACGGTAATCAGAAATGGGGCTTTAGTAAAACTGAGCGAAAATCATCGCTAAATCAGGGGACCTCTGATTCTACACCTTGACCTATTGTTTTTATTTGCTAAATTTTGAAATAAATATTTTATAATCATTTTTATTGGAAAAAGAATCGAAAGTTGTTTCGATTTTTTTTAATTAACAAGCTTTAGACGCATTAAATAATCTATAACAGTTTGTGTGTGTATTTTTAAAAAAAATGACATGTAATGACTGCATGACATGTAATGACTGCGTTTTCCCCAAATTAGCATTTCTTAAGTTATCTAAAATCAAGTATTTTTTTAAAGCTTGCTTTTATAAAATTGAATAAATTAAAATCAACAGTGATTGAATTAGAAACAAAAATAAGTTACTAACTGCGGAGCCAAACGAACGGAGAAAAATGCTTAAATGTAGTAAATTTCGTTTTTTTTGTCTAATTTCGTAATCTTAAATATTATTTATTGCTTTAAATAACTAACATGTTTAAGGGTAAGCCTTCGAATCATCAAGATTTAGTCATAGCACGGCAAAATCTGATCAAAACGCTAATCAAAGCGCTCGCTTTTATTTTGCATTCTGTATATATATATATATTTATCC